ATCACAGCCAAAGGCTGTGAGTCTTGTTGGGCTCGTCGAGAGTTTTAATTTGATATATTTTAAATCTCATTTGGAGTAACGGAGCAAAAGTTACAAACGAAACTTCGAGCAGAGAGCTAGGCAAGCAGTTTGGGAGAGCAGGCAATTTTTGTTTTTTTTTTTTAAACTTCGGGAAGCCAAAATTTCTATTTCTGGGCCTTTTTTGGACTTTGTACACCATCACAAAGGTTGTGAGTCTTGTAGGACTCATCGAGAGTTTCGATTTGATATATAATAAACCCCTATTTAGAGTTACGGAGTAAAATTTACGATCAAAATAGCGAGCAGGCGCGCTGGGTGCACGATTTTTGGCGAACAACAGCTTCTTGGTGAGCCTGGGGCTGCCTTGGACTTCTTGGGAGAGCCTCAAGCTACCTTTGGCGAGCTAACCATAGAGGTGGATGCACCTTTGGAGGCCTTGGGCGAGTTGACCAAGGAGATGGGTGTTCATGCTATGCTGCACAAGAAGTTAGGCGAGCTAAGGGAGGAGACCACCGTTGGGGCACGCAGAGGAGGTGACTTCAAGGCGCGTGACTGGGGCTAGCACTATGAAGGTGAGGCCAGCAGGCCGGACGGGCAGCAGGGTAGTTGTGTCGATTCAAACATTGAACGCCCATATTGCGAGTGAGTAGGAAGGGATAGCTGGGGTGCTTGTTGCGCTGGGCAAACAGCTGGGCGTACATGCTGTGTGCAAGGCCCTGGGCGCCACTACTGTGTGCAGGCGTGCTGGTCAGGCAACCCAGCTGCTGGGTGTTAATGGAGTGGCGCCTGTGGTGTTGGGCCCTGCTGGAAAGGTGCCTAGGCGTCAGTGCTAGATGGCGAGGCGTGTTATGCTTGGCAGTGGAGGCTGACAACTTTGCTAATCGAGATGGAGGAGCGCTGTTTGGGGACAAATACAGTAAGGGAGCAGGTGTCAGATCTTTAATGTTGGAAACGTAGGCAAGCCTTGTTTGGACTAGGTGCTAAGCGTGGGAGTGCTGTAGCAACAAGGCGACGGTGCCAGATGGACACAAAATGATGAGGCCCGATTATTGACGTTCAATTTAATGTAGTCCCTCGGGGTTGCAGATGACCTGAGTTTCAAAAGTATGCCTAGAGATGACAAAAATAATGTTATTTCAACATCAAAATATCTTAACATGATTTCCTGAAAAGAGAGGCAGGCTGCTTGCATGAGAGCAATGACAGAGTCTGAGGATTGCTCGTGAGAGAGTCACACCTTTTGAGACCAAGCTTTTGGCGACTCATGAGAGAGTTTTTAAGCTTGAGGTATAGGCTGCTTGTTTGAGAACAGTACAAAGGCTAAGTTTTTTTGGCAATATGCACGAGAGCCGCTAAGCTGGAGATAGGCTGCCTGTTTGAGAATAATACAAAGGCCAAGCTTTTTTTTTTTTTTTTTGCGACTTGCGAGAGAGCTGTTAAGCTGAATATATAGGATGCATGTTTGAGAACAATGCAGAGGCCAAGCTCTTGGCGACCCACGAGAGAGCAGCTAAGCTGGATATATAGGCTGTCTGTTTGATAGCAGTGCAGAGGTCGGTCAAGCTTTTGGCGATCCTTGAGATGATTCACCTCGCCTGAACTTGTTGATTTCCTCAGCATTCATATATTTTTAAGTTTTTGCCACTAGTTCTAGCATGCTCTTTAGTGGTCGCTTCATTACTGAAAAGAGGAAGTTTGACGAGCGGAGGCCTCCCAAAAAAATGGTCGTAATGACTTTGTCATTGGACTCCTCGATTTGGAGGACTTCCTCGTTAAAACGATTGAGGTAACTCCTCAGACTCTCCTCTCGATTTTGTTTTATGTTGAACAGGTGGGTGGCAAGCTTCTGCTGGCGGCATTCACCAATGAACTATATCACAAATGATCTGCTCAGTTCAGCGAAGGAGTTTATGGAGGCTGGGGAGAGCTTAACGAACCTTTTTTGGGTGGATCCCTTCAAGGTGGTTGGGAACGCCCTATACATAATCTCGTCTGGGACGTTGTGCAGCTGCATCAGAGTTTTGTAGGTTTCGAGGTGGTCTAGTAGATCCTTCGTTTCGTTAAAGGTCTCCACGGATGACATTTTGAACTTTTGAGGGAAAAGGTAGTTCGCCACGTCAAGTTTGAAAGGCGTGTCAGTTTGCCTAATAAGGTAGTCCACCATCTCAGGTCCTTGAGCCTTCATGGCATTGAAAGACGTTACCCAGTTGATTTTGCACCTCTTTTATTTTTTTGTCCCAGTGATGGGGTGCTACTCTAGAATTATCATGGAAATGACTCTCATGTTCCATATTTTGGTTTTCACTCTCATCCTCTTGAAAATGAGGATCTCTATCATGAGAATGGGGAGTTGGAGGAGGAGGTGGAGGTGGAGGTCCCTCACGGGGAGCTCCCCTGTGTGGGGCTCCCAAGGGGGCTCCTTGGGGTGAGACGCCTAAGGGAGCTCCAATGAGGGCGCCCAAATGAAGAGCACCCATGTGGGGAGCTCCTTGATACCCATGGCGTAGGGCTCTTCTGACTTGGGGTCCAAAATGTGCTCCTCCTTGCCCAACGAGCATCAGTTACAAGATCTGTTGGTTCTAGGTCACAAGCTGTTGCATGGTCTCCAGCATTTGTTGCACACTTGGGGCAGGATTGGTTGGTGGAGGAGCAACCTCCTCTCGTGATTGGTTATCCTCAAGCTAATTCATAGATCTAGTTATAATCGTCATTAGTTCAGCAAATTAAGTGTTTAGAAGTGAGAATTTTGGTCTTCCCACAGACGACGTCAAATTGATGATGCACAAAATGAATTTGCACACTACCTGTCAAGTGATTGAAAATAAATGCAGTAATTAAAAATAAAGAGAGATAAAGGAGATGAGATTTATAGTGGTTTGGTCAACGTGACCTACGTCCACTTTTTAATGGTTGTGGTCGTCATATCCTTTATTAGCTCAAGGATGTAGGGAGTAGAGAGCTCCGGGCTTAGAGAGGGAGAAGAGAGTTTCGTGCTCAATAGAGTGTGATGATCTTGCCCCCAAGCGTTGATGAGGCATACAATTTATAATCACCCCTAACAGATTGGGCCGACTTAATAGCAACTAAATAATTATTCTGGTGGAGTTGGCGAAAAGATGAGGTGAGGGTTGACTCTTTTCAAGACGGCAAGGATGAGACTTCTGGTGACCCTTACTCCAAGGTGGTAGAGGAGGCCCTTGATGACCCTTACTTTAAGATGATAGAAGAGACTCTTAGATAACCCTTGCATTTCCCTTGTTGATGTAGCTCATTGACCTTAGTAAGCTGGCTAACTAGACCTCTTATAATTAGACGTTTGAACTTATAACATAAGTTAGGCCTTGGGCTTGGCTCATTGTATCCGTCAACCTTATTTTGACGGTGCATGTGGGATGGGAGATTTCTTTTGATGTGTGATTAATGGGGGGCCCCACCCACACACCCACCCACCCACCTACCCAAAACAACAAAATTCAATGTGGGTCAGTTCGTGGGATTAATTGGATATTTTAACTAGAGATTTGGTAAGAATTGAAGTATAAATTGGATGGTTTAAGAGGTCCCAGTTATTTCATCGCATACAAAAGCAAACCTCAATTAGCATTTAATATCGTCAATTTATCAGCATGAAGAACTGGTAATCGTATATATTAATTGACATACTCACTGTTAGAGGTGGTAAATGGCCTGGTTAGGTTGGTTATGAATTGGTATAAAACAAACTAAATCCGTTTTCTACTGGTTTAATAAACGGGTTGGGACATAATGAGCTCAGTAACGCACATTAATCCGTAAAATAATTAAAACTGTTAATATAAACATATACTACTACACCAAAAATAAACACACTAATACATCAAAAAAATGCACACATATATTAACACACAAAAAACACCAACACATTTATTTTATTACTTGGGTCGTGGATTGGGTCGTGGGTTGGGTTGTAGGTCATCTGTCGAGTCATGGGTTGGGTCGGGTGTATTAGTGTGTGTTTTTTTGGTGTATTAGTATGTGTGTATTTTTTGATATATTAGTATATTTATTTGATTTTATTACTTGTATTATTTATAGAAAGATACATACTCAATTTAACGGGTACCCATTTATAATTCATATTAACTCATTTAATTAAAATACATTCTATTACCCAACTCATTTAGAACTCACATTAATTAATATAGATACTCAATTTATTTATTTATGAACAAGTTATTGGGTAATGAATTAAGATTTCCACCTCTAGTGGAGAATATTTTGTAATTTAGTGAATTTCTGACATTGTTTAAGGTGTCTTTCTAGAAATTATGAGATGCCATTTTTTTGAAGCGATATCTCTAAACCCATGATAGGGCTGGTTTGTTGGGCCTTCCTCTTCCTCTGGCACGCATATCCGAGCTTTCAAGATTGTGGCCATGTTGATTAGGTATTGTTTGATGGTCTAAAAGATGCTTCCCTCATGAAAAGTTGTTAAGACAAGGAGGTGACGGTGATAGGTAGAGCTGAACTTTGGTTCAGGGTATCATCAATATTTTTACTCAATTTCACTATGTATGAATGTGGTATCAAAAAAAACTATGTCTGAATGTGGAATCCACCCGAGCCATACAGACTACATGATATTAAAGATAAACTTTTAGATGGGTCTGATTGGATGGGTCGGATTTTTTTGTTTGTTTTTCCCTTTTGGGAGAAGGGTTGAGTGTTCCCATATAATATCACTAGAAAACCCAACCCCAGCTCACTATGTACTTCCAGTCTTCCATGGAAATTTTTGGCTGAAAAGGACTCACCTCCTATGGGTTCCGGTGACTTCATGAACGGATCAACTGAACTTTCAAAAGGTTTTACCCTCTACAAGTAATTATACCTGGAAATTTAAAAATAATATTTTTTATGATTGATCATATGTTTTACAGTTATAATTTATATTTTCAAAAATTATAACTTTGATCTTAAAAAAATTATAAATTTGAGTATCAGTCGGCCGCAGTTTCCTCGTAACATTTTATTGATATAAAGCGATAACAATAAAAGTGTCGACACTTGTCACAGCTAAAGTCACGGTAACCAATTATTGAGCTCTTGGTGACACAGAGCCGACCTAGAACTGAGCTACCGGATATTTTTCCGGTCACCGGAGACTGAGAAGTTGGAACCTGCACAGAGGGCAAGAATTGTGGAGAGAAAACCACTTGGTGATACAAACTTCATGATATAAGTGGCCACATGGAACTTGTTTGCCACCGTCGCCTGATCGGAAGCTTTCCATGCAGACTGTACAAACAGCAGAGGCAATCACCGTCTGAATGTCATTCCGGTGTGGCGCCGACGAGTCTGAGATCTCAACCACGCTGGTTGAATCGTCCACCATGGTCAAAGCCTGGTCAAGGTCAAACGATTCATCGCCTTCCCTGCAAAACCCAGATGCTGTCATCGTCGGCATGTCATTCCTGTGAGATGACGATAAGTCTGAGATTTGGATCACACCGGCTGAATCGTCCACCATGGTCAAAGCCAGCTCGAGGTCAAACAATTGATCAGTGAGAGAGTTTGACATGGAGTTGGATTCTAGAGAGAGAGAGATTTCACTGCTAAGATGGCATGATTTTAGAAGTTGGGAAGTGTACAAATAGGATGTATAATTGGAGAGAGAGAGAGATAGAATAGATGTCTAATTTTTTATTTTTATATTTAATTTATTTATATAATTTTTGATTGTCCTTAAATTAACTATGAATTCCATGAAATAAGTTGTCTTTCATGTTTGTTTTTTTTTGGTCACGAGTTGTCCTTGATGTCAACTTTCCAAAATGAAAAATGCTATTTGGAAACCTAATCTAAGGATCTAATTCAATACAACCATTAGATTGGTTGTGGCCTCCATCATTAGTTGTGGGCTCCATTTAATAATAGAACTCTCAACTAATCCAATAGTTGTATTGAAGCTACATCATTAAGTTTCTAAATTAGATTCTCAAATAAGGTCCATGTAGCATTGCTCTTCCAAAATATTATAATTTTTTTAGTTCAACGGCCAAGAGTGTTCGAATCATTTTACGTGCACCACCTTAATTAATTCTCTCTCTGGTTCGATCAAAGATATATCATTTATACTGAGATTAAAAAATTACGAGAGATAAATTTATCACTGTTTAATCCTAAAAAATTATCAAAATTCGAACTTAATACGTCAAGATTAATAATTCATCTCTATTATGACTACAGTTATCAAATTATCATAGTTACAATTGATTCATTCATAACTTGTTAGATGCAGTGGGGGTCTTAGCCAAATTATGTATTTGTAAATCGTGGTTGTGGACAGATCATTTTAGTTGCTATCTAAGATGACGTAATATTAATTTAATATCCTTCATGCATATTTCATGTTGGAGTCAACATGTATAACTTCATCCTATATAACTTCTCTCTCTCTCTCTATGAACATTTTCCACCCGAAAGCCCCCATAATTCAAAAGTCCAATCAATTCATATATTATCCCAAAATCATATTAAGACTAAAATCGGCATGACTTACTACTACGAATAATACACAAATTAAACTACTATCAAATATAAATAAACCGACTTTTACATGACACTCATTTAATTAGTATTATTGATCCTCATAAACTAAACATCCACTTGACTTATATATGATGTCAAAACCAAGTTAAAAAAAAATTAGTTTAACATAGACAATAAATAAACTATCGTGTTCTTGTGAAAAAAACTAAAAAAATAATAAAATAATTTAAATAAGAATTAATTAATATTTGATGACAATCTAAAACAACGTAACTTGAACGCGACACAACACTGACTTATTGTCAACCCCATACCTTAAACAAAGTGAATATTTCTCTTTTGTTTTTAAGGAAAGGGAGAAGTCGGTGATAGAGGGACAAAGCAAAGGTTAAGGAAGCAGGGAAGATTACAACTTACAGCCCACGATGTATCTCATCATTGAGAGAGAAGAGAAGCCGAGGATAAAAAGACTGGTCAATACCATGCCGACACGACAGCTACATGAAATATGCACGAAAACTTTAAAAAAATATTGGGTATGCATAATATAAAATAGGGTATGCTTCGATAAGTTTATTTAACGGTCTCAAATAAATTCATTCAAAGTATTCACCAATATCTCTTTTAAAATTATTCACATTGTACTGTACCTTCAGGCACGAGTTATCCATAATAATTGTTATACCACGTCAGTAGTGTCATGTGATTTAACCATCAACTAATAAGTAAACAAATCAGTAAGTGAACCCTACAAATATTCATAACCATCTAGTCATATAATGCATACCCACTTCCTTGATAAAAAGTGGATCCCTTTTTTTTATTTTATAATTTTTATATTGAATAATTACACCACATTAACATTACTAATATAGTATAACCGTTACACCTAAGAAAACCTGACAGAGGAGAAAAATGTGCATAACATAAGAGTTGGTAATCAAGAGGCGATCAGAACACAGTGAAGGCAAAGGGGATTTGATTGACAATATGTGGCCAGGAAATCGAATCAATATCACCGACCGGGGGGTAGGGCTTGGGCCAAAGCCCAAAAGGCCCCAACAATACCAGCCCTTAAGCAGAGGAACTACCTACTCAGTGAGGGGTCGTTTCGTTTCCTCACGGGCCAGTTGGCTCGGGTTTTATGCTTGTCATCCCTTCCCCAATCAAGGAAAGAAAGGCCCATGTGACTGAAAAGGCCTGAAAAGAATTTGGACCAAACTAGGGCTTTGATACTTGAACCCACCTCATCTGTCGACACTCGAGTTCTCTTCTATTAGAGCACATATAACATCGACTCAAATATAGATTTAAATTTAAATTTGAGTTAAAATAACTCAAAAAACTTCTATAACTTTGGACTTAAACTTATATCAAATCAAGACAAAATTTATGCTCGACATAAATTGAAGCAAACTTAAATTATATAACAAATTTTTAACGGTAACTTTTTTAACTTATCCAAAATTAAAAGACTTTTTCAAAAACTTGTTCTCTATATCTTCTTGTCTATCTCTATTACGCTGCTTGCATCGTTGACCCCACTGAAACTTTCACAAATCATTTGAAGGCTTGTAGGTAATTTTTTTTTTTTTATCTTTCATATTCTTGATTTCTTATCTTTTTCAAAATCTTAGTCTCATCTTTTATGCTATATAAACCCTAAACCTACCCATCAAATATTTCTTTGATTTTTTCGAGTTAAATACTATCAGTAATACAATTTTAGGACACTGATTTTTCTTGACAATTTTAAGTGTTCACTGCCCACAAATTTAGAAAATTCGTTATTTTTTTTCTTTAATCTTCTATTTTTGTTAAAAGCGTATGTTTTTGTATTCTTCAGACCAGGGCTATGTGAAAACAGTTATTTTTTTTTATTTTTCTTTATCTGGATTTATAAAAATGATAAGGGATTAGAACAATCTTAAAATTCTGAGATGATTTCTTTATTTTCATATAATGTTGTATGCATATTCATTTTTTTTTTTTTTTGAATTACCCATATTTGGAGAATGAAAGTTTTATTTATTTTATCAAATATCATGATTTGAATGTACAAAAAAATGAGTTTTGAGAAAATAAGATAATTTTTTACAAGATTTGAGTATATATTTGAGTTTGTCTATTGAAGTACTATATACCAAATTTAACTTTTTACTCAAATTTAAATCTAAATTTGAACTATGATTGAAGATACTTTTAAACATTAAATCGGAGTGTCGAGCAACAACAATAGAATTTAAAACTATGCCGTTTTAATGTCTATTGTTGTTGTTGATTTGTTTTGGCTCTTAATATATATTGTTGTTGTTAAGTCTAAAATTGTGTTGTTTTAATGTCTATATTGATGTTGTTCGATTTGTGGCCAAAATGGTGTCGCCGCACTAACAGCACCCTCGTCTGTGTTTGATAAAAAGATGAAAAATGATTGATTTATGAGTTATGACCCTATTTAAACGATAATTTTTCTAAATAAGTCAAACATTAAAAAAAAAAATCAAATTCATGCACCGTTACTAGAATATTTATAAGGGATGAATCATTTATGGTCTGACCTCAAGTAGTTGCTAAGATTCGAATTTATGACGTTTCAGTTTACCACTCATTCTTGTTTTCACTTAAGTACAATTACAGTTAGTCATCTAATCCTTCATTACTGTTGATGACTTTATACAACAACAAAATTTTCATAAGTATAAGAATGTTTCTTGAGTACCCATTTTTTTTAGTAATATAATTACGATAGATCTTTCATCGTGAATTTTAATTTAAATTATTTATAGTAATTAGTTATTAAAATTGTCAAAAATATTAAAAACATCGCACATGTCATTTCATAAGTGGATGAAAACAACAAGATACGGTATTAAAATGTAACCCTAATTATTAAATCATATTAAATGTTGAAAATTCTAAAGTAATGTAAATATTTCGATAAGTGAAATCTACACAATACTCGTTCGATAAACTGAATTTGATAAATGCCTTGAAATCCAAACTACTGATTAAAGAATTTATATAATTACAGTTCCACAAACTGTACGAAGTTCACAAGAGTAGCAGAGTAGAGGTGTCAAAATATGACATAACTTATTAATACGATATCAAATTAAAAGATTTTCGTACTCCTTAATCCACCCGTTTTATAAAAGAGTGGATCCCACACGACACAGTTAATAAACGAATTAGATATGAGTAAAACTAATAAAAAAAATATACGAAATGACTCATTTAAATACCAATTATATATCATTTATACGTAACACGATTCATTAAATACAAATTAATAAACGAATTGATCATGAATGAAATACTCTTTTGACATGATCCTACTAAAATTCAATACGAACTCATCTCAACCGACACAGTTGACATGCCTAAATATGAGTGAGATCTAAGAAAATAACATCCACATATGCAAAATAAAAGTTCTCAATATAGAATTATTTTTTTTTATTATTTTTTATCAGGGATATGCACTTATTTATTCAACAAAAAAATACGTGTCAAAATTTATATTTAATAATTTTTAATTTAATAATAAAAATAATTTTTTGATACAAAAATTTTGTCCATAAAAGTTGTACCTCTGACAAAAATTTTAATATAATATTGAAAGTAGTGTGCAGTTCTAGATCTTTATTTGATAAATTAGTTTGCTGTTATAGGACTTTATTTGATTTTAGGGTTATTTTTAAATTGCACCCCCAAAAAATTGTTGAATTTTAATTTGGACCCCCAAAATATAAAAAATTTTAATTTATACCCTCAAATATAGAAATTTATATCAATGTATACCGTTAAAAAATATGATTTTATCCTAATAAAAAATTATAATTTCATATTACCCTTTATTTTATGTGTCCAATATACTCTAAAGTTTAAAATCAAATTTATCATTTAAATGTTCAATAGAATGTAACTATTTATACAATATTTTTTATATCCAATGCAATATATCACTTAAACATAATTATTTAAATGCTCAATTGGGGGGACATTTTAGATTGAGAGTATTTTTATTAG